TTTTTTTAATTAATAATATTTTTCTGAGCAGACAAGGCCATAACTGTCTCATCATTGTTTATTAGTGCGTACTTGCTTTGTGGCACCAAAGTTCAGTGGACCAGAAGGAGAGCCACGCCCTGCCTCACAGGTGCCAAAGGTTGACTATCCTCTTGATGGAGGAAGGATTATCAGAATTGAAGGTCAAATCAGGTAAAATGATAAGAGAAATAAAATAACTGAAAAGGTCTCCAAACTTAAGGAAAATTTTGGTAAAACATTTTCCCTAAGGTAAAAATTTCAAGGGAACTATTTACCCAAACACAATCTTCAAACTTTTGAAATCAGTGCCAGGATTTTAAGTCACAGATGCCAACAAAGCTTCTTATCAGTATACAAATTGATATAATTATTCAAACTATCTCCAGTTTATTTCATCACCTTTCAAAGGCTTGTCAACAACTGAAATGTTGTTACTGCATTGCGAGCTAGGAAACATTTATGTAAAGGGTGATTTTGTTTCTTTTGCAGAGAACAGACTTTTGATATTTTGTTTGATGGGGATGAGGAAGGAAAATCTATTGCAACATGTCTGTTGGATTCAATACTTAAGGTACACTGGATACCATAATCATTATTTAATTATTAATTGATATTTCATTCTTTCCTTTTTTCTTTTATTCACTCATCAGTTTATTTCATTCATTCTTAATTTTATTTGTTCTTAAACCTATTTATGATCATTATTTCTTTCACTACCATTTCAATGATTTAAAATTGTCAACTTTTGTTCTGCAGTGCCCTATTGACACAAGGAAGCAGTTAGCAGAGAATATAGTCCTTGTTGGTGGAACTGTAATGACCCCAGGATTCAAGTAAGCTAAACTTCTCAGTGTATTGTAACGACTGTCTATGTGGCACACTTCTCCACTCAAAAGTCTGAAAGATTTTTTGTTAATTATGAAATTATGAGATGTTGTGTTTCTTTTCTTTTCTTTCCTTTTCTTTTTTTTTTTAACTCACTGCTTGTTATATATTAATTATATATATATTCTCATGGGTAAGACTTGATTCTGGCAGTAACATATAAACTCTGCTTGCAAATATTGAATTTTAAGGAGATTAAAAATCTGGTTTGAGTTTTATTATGAGCATGATTTGGACAATCATGTATTTTGCATATCTATGTGATAATTTAATATTTTAAATTCCAAAATCATGTTTCTTATTGGCTGCAATCATTAATCTTGCAAAATTTTGTGTAAAATATGCTCATATCATGAGAGAGTTTATCCTTTAAGAGTGACTAGCATCTAATCCCTCCCTACAATGTCATGCCTGAATCACTTATTTAGGTCACAAGAGTAAAGGAAATGTTCAACTAAGTCTAATAAAAGTAGCTCCTGATTGTGAAACAAATTCTACCTGTAAGCACCTTAGGAGATGTATTCTGAACAGTAAAGAGAATATGCATACAAATGTTGGAGTGAAGCTAGGGTTAAAAAGTCCATCAGATTCTTTTGAATGTAGGATTTCAAAACTTTTTTCACTTTTGGCAATTGGCTTGTAATAATAATGATGTTTATTTTAACATGTAGACATCGTCTGTTGCAAGAAATTTACTGTTTACTTCAATCACCTCGATACAAAGAGAACTTATTTATGAAAACAATCAAAATGCATCAGATACCTGTCACTGCCAACTGTACATCATGGCTTGGAGGTAGGCCTGTATTCTGTTTTGTTTTGTTTTTTCTCTCTTTTTCACTCTCATTATTGACATAATTTTATAAGTTTTCACTGTTTTTGGAAGAAGTGGTGACTTATTGGTCAGAGCAGTGGATACAAGGTAAAATTATAAAATGCTTGGGATGTATCCTTCACAATGGATGTACATTCATCTAGTCAGGAGTAGTGCTACTCCTCACCACTTCATGGGAAGGAAACCAGGATAAGCTTGGGC